GGGTGGGACTCGAACCCACGACCTCCTGCTAAGCACTTCTGAGAGTGCTTAGAATGATTTCCCTTCTGAAAGTGGAGAATGTAACCTTTCTACACTGCCTGAACAGAGCTTCATCATCTGATTGGTGAAATGTAGATCACATGGCATGAATCACTTATCCAAATGCAGGGCATGTAACTGCAGTATGCAGTAAATGTAGAATGTGGAGATGGGACAGCGAGGCCAATATAAGCCAACACAATAGGAAGAAGAAAGTTAAAAAGAAGTGGCCACCAATGTGAAAAACCAAATTTTCGACACTACTGGGTCTTTGTTGGGGCTTGGAATGCTGGTCACAAGCCCCAACAACGGTTTAAAAATCAGATGAAGCTCTGCCATGATGCACTTTACATACATGTAGCTGTCATATGGCTAATAAGAGATGTGAAGTCATCGCTTTTACTATGGTAGACAAACTCAGCAAGCAATTTCTGAAACTGTAATGCTTGTAATAAGAAAAACATTGGATACACTGACAAAAGAAAAAATTGAAATCAGATGAGAAAGTATGTTGAAGCATGAGCTGTTTTTGAGGACCACTTCTTGTCCAGATACTATGCCGCATTTAGAAACGAAAACAAAATGGTGATGCATTCAAACATTGTGCAAAAAAAAAGAAAGAATAATCTTGCAAAAAATAATGAAAAAATAATGAATTTGATAGGGAGTCACTGTAAAGCAATGATTGAAGCTGTATGGGCTCTCCTCCAGCTGACAGAATTACAGTATACTCACAAATTTAACCCAACATGTACAATGCATACATAAGCATCTCAGTTCGATTAGTAACAGGTGAAGGCTACAGAGCTCCAGATCGTAGTGGTGGTGAAACCAGTATGACTCCATCTCCCCGAACAAAGAGCATGGATATATTTCTTTTAGTGGTCTGTGATAAAAGAAAATGAAATTAAAAATAAAAGAGCATTTATTTCTTTTTCCCTTTCAACCATTACTACATATTTATAAGCAATTATAATAAAGAATAATTCAAACGTTAATGATAAAAATCTAGGATACTTCAGAAAGACGACAATAACAAGCTTTTGTAGTAAATATCAGTAGCAAATACAACTGTTCAAATTTAAATATTCCTCTGGAAAGAATTTTGTATCATGGTAGGACTTTTGTTTTATGCACATGTATATTACAATAATATACATGTACATGTATCTTAGACAAGAACAAAAACTAGATGAAATCAGGGTTGCAAAAATACATGACATATATGAGTTAACTAATATGACTCCATGTTTGTTTATAAGTGTAAGAATTCACACAATTTCTGCTTCAATGAAATCAAAATACATGTGCTTTGAAAATTGAAGCCTCATACCCGACATTCATTTGGTTTGCTTGTCTACTTATTTTGCCAGCCCGTGTCAACCTGATCCCCATGATGTTAGAACCCTATCACCCAATGAAAGAAAATTTGAAAGATATCATTGTTGCAACTCTAAAATACAACTCTGGAAAAAAATCATTAGACCACCATCATTTTGTTTAGTTTATGCCACTCAGAGGGTGTCGGTGACCCTGATATGAGCTTTGTTCTGATATGAGCTGCACTTCGGCATGCTCTCCACTAGCCAATGACAGTCTTTCTGTGTCACTGCTGACCACTCCTGATGTAAACATTCAAACAACTCTGCTTTGTTTGACGGCTCCGTGGTCTTGCATTTTTTGTTTAATTCTGTTCCACAAGTTTTCAATTGGGTTTAGGTCAAGTGTCTGAGCAGGCCAGGTCATGATGCGGATGTTATGATCTGTCATCCATGTCTCAACTGAATTAGCTGTCTGGCAAGGCGCACTGTCCTGCTGTAAAACCAAATTATTAAAGTTGGGTAATGCAGACACTGGGCAGTAGATTTTCTACCAAAACTTGTTTGTAGGTGGCCTGGTTCATTCATCCTTCACATTATCGCATTTGTCTGAAGCAGCCCTACATGTGTATAATCGCAAAATCACCACCAAATTTCACCTTAGGAATCAAACACTCAGGCTTGTAGGCTTCCCCAGACCTTTTTCTCGCCATCACATGGAAGGGGGGTGGAAACAACTGGAAATTAGACTCATTGCTGAACAAGACTTCAGCCCAGTCATCAACAGTCCAATTCTTGTGTCCTTTGGCAAATTGTAACCTTCTCTTCCTCTGCTGTGACTTCCAGCCAGCTTCCAGGAGTCTGAAATTACAGACTCTCCTGAATCTCAGTTTTTAAACTTTACCACACCTTCTGAAGGTCACTGGAGGTCAATCATCGATTTTTTTACGTGAACAGATGAGTAGTCACCTGCGCAGTACAGGATGCTGTTTCCTGTTTCCTGGCTGCAAGCTTGGTGTTTCCATACCACCCTGCTTCTTCTTAGTGTGGTGGACTGCAGTCTGATATACTCAGCCTTGTAGCCACCTGCCTTTCACTGTAGCCTTCATCCAGCAGAATGACAATGGAGTTCTTTGTTGCTTTGCTCAGCTCTTTAGTTTTTTGAATGATTAAACTGATAATTTATTTGTTCCTGGTAACTGTCTCCGTATGAGTGAAAACTGTGTACCACAAAATCACAGTGTTTTAGAGTGATTTTAATGATGTTTGCATAATTTTAACGATATTTGGATACTCTGCTAATATGATCGGTTTGAAAATATAATCATAAAAGGAAGCTACTGACACCACTGAAATGACATTTAAGCAGTAAATGGATGAATTGTTACCAATGTGAAGTTCTAAACTACATGTACATCAGTTACCAATAATTTCCATATGCAGTGAAATGGCTTTGACATATCCACGAAAAGGGACAGAAACATTAGTGGTCTAAAACTGTTTTCCGGAGCTGTATACACCTGTACAATGGTACTAGTGACACCAATGTTTTTGAAAGTGATTTTTATTTTTTTGGCAAACGATTTTGGTGATACAACTATGAAGTTGTCCACAAAGTGTACATGGCTAAAACTCCCTGATAGTGTAGATATAAATGCATAAACAATATTTCTTATACATGTAGAGCATGACCTTTTTGGTAACTTCTACCTGAAATGACTCCTTTATTTTGCATCCTTCAATAGCCTGATGAAATGTTGAAAACTTCTTATAATTTCATTAAAAAAAAAAAACTAAAGGTGGTGTTTGTGAACAAACACAGGCTGTTTCAGAGTTTGCTGTTTTAGTCAAATCGTATTATAAAAGAAGAATGTTTACAAAATACATGTAGATTTGATATGCTAATTTTACAGTTTCATGGAATACAGCTGAGTTACCAAAATATTGGCTATACTGGCTATATATCTGTGTAGAAAGTCAATTTGAAAGAAAAACCAAAATCATAATAAATTCATCGATGTCATCATGACATCATTTTTAACTGTTTCATATCACCATTTGAGTCCATCCTTGATGCAACTACATGTACATGTATAATGAAAAAAGAATAATATATTTTAAAGGTTGCACAGTCCATCCTGATTAGACGTGCATGCAATGGATAACTTTTAATGGCATGTGACCTCTCGCATGATGTCATCATCATCAAATGAGATCAATATTGCTGTAAAATACTTTGTTTTCCAGTTACATGCAAACTTACAACACAATTGGACGTGTACTTCAGGAGATAAAGAACTTTAAAGATGGTACCAGTAGTGTCACATGACATGTCACGTGATATCATCACCATCACATCAGGTCAACAGTCCTCTAAAATACTTCGTCCTGAAGTTACATGTATATGCAAGGTTTCAACCCTATTGCATTGTATTTCAAGATAAACAGACCGACCATTAAAGAGTGCACCTTTAAAGTCACATGACTTGTCATGTGATATTATCATCATCACATGACATCACTTTTCCTCTAGAACACTTCGCTTTAAAGTTATATACAAAGTTTCAACACAATCGGACATGTACTTTAGAAGTTATAGTGGTTGTTTATAGCCGCACGAAGTAATCTTTAGGCAATACTCTCAGTTGACAGGTGACCTTCATTGATGCCTGAATACATGTATTTCAGCCAGGCCTGCATCCTTGTAAAAAGAGCCAGATTGTGCAGTGTCATGTAACTTTCTTTTGTTCATGAACCTGCTACAGTGTGCTGCTGACCTCTTTTCAGTAGGGGCCAAATTAGCGTGCAGTGGTACTGTGTGGCTCATCGCTGCAGTGGAGTGCTTTTGTCCCCGGTGGTAATCCACTCGCTCTAAATGCCCAAAACCCTGGTATACTGTTTTAAAACGAGGCTGGATTATTACCACTTTTGCGAGTGAAAAATCTCAATAATGCCCAGTAGCCTGGTCTTTTGTTCGGAGTATGGTCGTTTGTTACGCTGCCCTGTTCCCTTTGTCCGAGTTCGGAGACCCCGGCCACACATATAAAGCATATGTGTCCAATTCCGGAGTCCCCGGCAGGAAGTGGTTAATCATGTACACATGAAGGGATACGGCTGAAAGGCTCATGTAGATTTTCGATTTTTTTATCTCTCAGAGATGACCGACATACACAACTTATAAGGCTGTCGTTTATTTATTTTTGATATACACGTAGTCGCATCCAATTGTACAAAATGTGAATCTGCATTAACCCTTGCGACAGGAAGAGAATAAATCTTTTTATCTTTCGTAAGAAAGATTCGGGTCACTGACTCAATTTGTTTGTAGCCTTGCCACTCTGGTAACAATGTACATGTACATATGTACATTACTATAACACAACGTATTGAATAGGTACACGAATGATCTAAAACACATGTAGACATGCCCGTGTACATGGTACATGTATGTGCATACTGTTCTGAAAAAATCTGGTTCCACATGGTTGTTATAAAAAGGTGTACTGTGGACATAATATGACACCACCAGTGACATTTAGTTTTGCTTTTAATCATGCACTGTCCCTTAACATCAGGCTTGTTTTTTTTAATAATTAAATGTTTGGTGTTTTAATATTTTTGGAATCCTTGTGAGCCATAATTGTGATCCGGCCCTAGGTTTTCACACAATTTGAATTTATTGCAGCAAAATGAGGTTAGTTTTACTCAGCTGGGTGAGAAAACTAAGCATCTTTACTTTGTTTTCGAGAAACCAGGGATTACAAAAAATAGCAAATTTAAGAATGACTTATCCTGGTATCCTTATGATTGGTCTTTTTTCTATGTGCTTTTAGAATATACTGTGTCAAGATGAAAAAAAAACTAATATTATCCACCATAAATGTACACTGTTGAAAATCAAATTAAGAAAACAACTATAAAGGGAGAAAAAAACCAAAAAAAACAAATTGGGACACAGAAAAACACGCAACAAAAATTACAAAAGTGACTGGGATATTGGGGAGTAACTCAGCTTAAAATCAGCAATCATCATCTGCAATCCTCTGAAGCACCGTACAGAAGTTTGATGATGCCCAGTGACTATTAACTCACATCTGCAAAACCCCATTTCAAGTCTGGGGCATGTGGTAAGCCAAATTTACCTTATAGATTTCTTCGTATGTCTCTTCATCAATCTCCATAGTTGTCACTGTCTCTTCTACATCACCAAGGATCATATTAAGATGTTGGTCATATGCCTGAAAGGATAAATTTCAAGTGCATGTGTAAATGTTACATGAAGTACCCAGTTACAAAAGGATTCAACATGCATACTATACATTGTCGGGTGCCCAGCAGAAGGGCGTAAGCACACTTACGCCCTTTCGCCGGGAAGCATGATCACAGCAGGAAAAAATGTTCCCGGCAAAAGGGCGTAAGAAACACACTCTCATTATTTAGTAAAAAGGATACAATTTAATACAAAATCAGCCTGGGCTGTACAAAAAGCAACCTTTGAACAAATTATTAAAGGACTAGGGCTTTTTTTTTTACTTTTTGCCAAGAAATCTTCATATTTCATTAAAATACAATAGTTGTATAATTTCGTCCTTTTGCTGGGAAACGTTTTTTGCAGTGATCATGCTTCCCGGCAAAAGGGCCCAAGCGCTTAGGCCTTTCTGCCTGGCACACGACGACATAGTGTTGCGTTCCAACAAATATTCTCCTACATACTGGTAAATGTACATGCTATTTCTATTACGCACCACACGCTCAGCCCACAGCAAGTGCATGGTGGCTACCAGTCATATTACATGCACTGTGCACAGAGTGCATTGCATCCCACATTCGAGATACATGTAGTTGTACTATGCAGTGACATGCCCTAGAACCACTAGTCCCTAGCACAGCATATAAACCACACCCTGAAAGCCTGCATCCGGTGACGATACACCAAGGTCAAATTACCTTCACTCAACCAGTTATGCCCTAAAACTATTGTGTGTAGATTTCCTAGCAGTCCGGCGGCTTAGAATGTTGTACACAACTCAGTGTCCTGAGAAAGACTCACCCTTTCCTTTCCCTCACTAAGTCCAGCACAGCACGCCCAAGAAAAACTTTTCACCGTCCCACTTCACGGACTTTATTGCTTTCCAGAAAAAAGGGTCAGTGAGACCAAGTGTACACAAAACCCCTATAGAGTTTTCTTCCACAGGCTTTCTACATGTATGAAGTACCCCAAGCCAGTGTTCTCATTGGCTCGTCCCCGAAAGTCTGTATGAACGGAGCACTTCCACTGGTCAAAATCAATCCTTGACCAACTTAAATGTACAATGTACGATGGACCTCCCCCACATACAGAGGGAACACTGCCCATTATGGGGGTGTCTGGTCGAGTGATTAGTATTTGTAGCTTCCTATCAGGGTTGAAAGTTCTAATCCAGCTGGTGAAGGCATGTTATTACAGCACTTAAATACTGCATGTGACACCCAGTACCTTACATGCACGCAGTAAGAGCAGGGAAAGTGTCACGGGTCTGTATTGGGTGTTGCTGCTACATCTATCCTCTTCTCATGGGCCTCCATGATCCTGTCACAGTGGATTCTTCTTCTGCTCAAAAGCCCATTTGTTTTTGTTTTTGTCACTGCAACTTCAATGCTTTTGCATCTTTGGATCTTCATCAAACTTGTACCAATGAAGAACCCTTATGCATAGATGGTCCTAGAAACATGACGCCATCATGAAGTCCTCAAATGATTTATTATTGATTTTACAATATTTATTTTAGCCCATTGACTTTGTACAGGTTTTCGAGGCACAATTTTGGGTACTTGGAAATATTTAATCGTCATCAAAGTTACATGTACAGCCGGCAAATACCCTGATGCAAAATTAATGCCAACTTTATGACGTCATCATGATGTCATCATCTTAATTTGTACTGAGTTTTGAATATTTGATTTTGCCCCGTAAGTTTTGTACACGTTTTTCAACAGCCAGACTTCAGGACTCTGGTCAGTCAAACTGATATCATGTTTGTACACACTCATACTCCACCACGTAAAGAGGGTCCAAGAACATGTGTCATCACAACATCATCAGTGGTTACGTGACATGAGATTAAAGGTGCAGTTTTTCTCCATGGGGATTGTACACGTTTTTGTACTATTCTTGAGCTTAATGGGTGAATCTTCCAAAACTTTGACCAAGAATTACTACACTACATGTCATGTGAGCTTAATGGGTGAGTCTTCCCGAACTTTGACCAAGAATTACTACACGGAACGAAAGAGAAATCAGACTAAATTTTCCCTTCGATCGATTATATATATACTCAAGAGTGAGAATATCAAATAATAAGTAATAATTTTTTCAGGTTAGACGCTGATCACCTGACATGAACTTAAAGGAGCAGTTTTTCTGCACACGTGTTTTCAGCCCATTGACTTTGTGCACTTTTCAAGCCACAATTTTGGTAACTTTGCGATGTTTGATCATTATCAAATTGATAGCCAAGACACATCATGATACAAATTTTACTGGAAGTAGATGACATTATGATGATGTCATCATTTGATTTATTATTGATTTTTCAATAAATTTCAGCCAATTGACTTTGTACACATTTTCCAGCCATCATTTTAATAAACTCTTAGATCTCTGATCATCACCAAGGTTATAGCCAGCAACGACCCTGATGAAAAATTTTGCTTAATTTATGATGCCATGATGACATCATCACCTTATTTCTTTTTGAATTTTGAATAGTTCATTTTTGCCACAGTGTTTGTACACGTTTTTCCTTTACTTTTTTTGCTAATGTTTTTACTAAACATTAATGAGTGAGTACTCCTCAACTTCAACGGAGCATTACTACTATAACAAAAGAGAAATCAGACTAAATTTTCCCTTTCGTTTGATTACAAATATACCCAAGAGTCAAAATATCAAATGATATTTCATAAAACGTCTTCAGTTTAAACGCGAATCACCTGACATGAACTTAAAGGAGCGGATTTTCTGCAAAGAGATTTTTACCTCCTTGACTTTGTACGTGTTTCGGGCCCATTTTGGAAACATTGCGATGGTTGATCGTTATCCAAGTGATAGCCAACAAAGACCCTGACGCAAAATGAATGCCAAATTTACGACCTCATTCATGCTGATGTCATCATTTGATTTATAATTGATTTTCAACATTTATTTCAGCCCATTGACTTTGTATGCGTGTTCATGCCAACATCATTGGTAACTTTGCGATGTTTGACCGTCATCAAAGTTACTGCTAACAAAGACCCCGAAAAAGGAACTTTGTCAAATTTATCACATTATGATGACGTCATCACCTCATTCTGAATTGATTTTTGAATATTAAATTTTCCCCATAAGCTTTGTACACGTTTTTCAACAGCTAGACTTATCGGGGACTCTGAGTCAATCTACCTAATTTCATTATCGTGCACACTGTCATTCCACCACGCCAAGAGGGTTCCAGGGCAAAATAGTCATAATGACATCATCAGGTGTCATGTGACATCAGGCTTAGATGTACAAAAGAGTGCGAAAAAGCCCTTTGTTCTGATGGCAAACAGACAAATAACCTCTCGTTGAGTTTGCATCTCTGGTCTGAATTTTTCGTGTTTTTTGAACGGGGAAGGGGTTCAGTAATTCACTGGGGATTTGTGGATTAATGGCCTTACTTTTTCCCAACTGTTAAAACTGAAAAAAGCTTATTGAAGAAACAATCATTATTTCTTTGTATGATTTTCCTTCCGCCATGTGCATATGCCACAGATAATTTGAGCCAATCACTCGTGTGATGCATTTAACGACTGGCCATGGTTGGTAATCATGACGGGTAATTTGGATGTACAACTAAACATTGGAGTGGCCTAAGCCCCACTCTCTGTAAATAGTTTTGCTCACCCAAGCAACTGTCATTTTCCAAAAACTGTGATTCCTCATGTTTTCCTTTTTGTAACATTTTGGTTTTTATGTTGTCTCAATGCTGTCATTCATTTATAACCCTGATTTACTCCCATTGATTGACTGGTATATGGAATTTGGGAATTATTGTCATTGTTTCCAAAAAGTATAAGCCTGTCTATGACTTTAATTATCAGCAGACCTAACTACATGTATGTTTCTTTTGTTTGAAGCAAGTTTTCGATGTTCATTTAAAAGTGCACAGAAGTTTGGAAGCCCAGGGGGGATGTGAGGTATTCTTGATTGTTCAGTACAGCAGTGTTTGTTATCCCTACGTTGTACATGTACTGTAGTCCAACAGACATGCCCTATATGCTGGGGCTAGCTACATGTACCAGTACTGTATAACAACTACGGTCTGATTGGATGTACTGGAAATGTTAATCTGTGAAGGGTAAATGTTTAAAGTACAGGTAATTTCATTTTCATCTTCAAAATTATGAATGAAAATACATGTAAAAGGTATGTATCACAATTGTCCACACTTACATTCAACTTGCCTTTCAGCTCCCTGTCATTCCTCATCTTAACATAAATGCGTTCATCCAGGCTTAGCCGAATGAGATCCAGAGGCTCCTCTACAGTACTGGTGGGTCCTTGCTACATGAAATACATGTACATAAGAAAAAAGAACTTTCAACAAATCCTTTACAAGGCTCATAGTATAATTCCAGATCCAGGTTCCTGAATCCTTAACCTCTTCCTTCGTATTATACATGTATATGCAGAAATCATTTTTTTAAATAAAAAAACCAAGGAATGAAAAAAAAAATGTATTGTGCCATTCCCACACTGTCTAGTACTATGCCTCACACACAACATGAAAGCAACTTTGAAATTAAAATACATCCATGTACCAAGGTGTTCCAAAGGCAACAAACGTGGGAGCCTTTGTGTCATCACTCAACACCTCCTCATATCATGCTGTAGCCTGTTCACTCAATCAATGAATACATACATGTAACAATACATGTACATGTAAGTCGTATCCAGTCATCCATCACATCTTACTGCGATGAAGTAATCAGCATTGAAGAAATAGGCAATGGCTGGATGTGATGGGCAATGGCATGACGTGACAGGACGACACAATGCCACAACACAACACATATTTGTTGTCTTTAAAATGCCATAATGTACGTGTACATGTACATGTACATATACGTGTATGTACAATCATTTACCAGCTACAATGTACATGTACACTGCATAAATACATTTTCATGCTCCTTCACTTTGCTCATTCGCATGAAAACACCTTGATTCTATTGAATGAACACTGAATGGACCAACACAGAACAACAAGGAATTGATTCTAGGTTTTATAATAGAGCATGGGAGAGGGGGTTTCAAAATGCAGATGAGTGCTTCAACCTTCTGCTTCCAAATACTGTAGGTACAATAAAAGTTCAATACACAATCGATATAAATGTTAAGAAAACAAATTAGAACATTCATTTAAAAAAAAAGTTGGTCTAACACCAATAAAAAGCTTAAACAATCCGAAGTCTATGTAAATTCTGAAGAAATTGGCTGGAAGACCTTGAGCTATTTTGAGCAACTATGGAAATATTATGCATCACTAACAAGTAAATTATACAAACTTCATGTAAAAAAAATACATGTACATGTACATGTATGTACAGAGTGATCCTACAACCAAGTAAGGCCAAATAATTATAATAAATAAAACATGCCAGCAATTTGTATCAGCTAAAAATTGAAGCACGATACCAATGCATATACTGTATGTAGTACATTTGACTTCAATATTCTGAAATGTTACAAAAATTCAGTATCGCATTGATTAAACACAAAATTACATGTATACTAAGAGAAATGCAATACTGTAAGTTGCAGGAGCAAAATATTAGTGACTATTTTGATGAATTAATCCAAATAAATTTTCTATACAATCAGAAGCTGCCGCAGATTTGAAAACTGGCAGAAGAACTGTTTATGAGGGCAGCATAAAGAAATATAAATATAGTAAATGTAAACTTAATACTGATATTTCTAAACAGAACACCAACAGAACACAGTAATTTTGGTGAATGCTGCACTCATGATTCTTTCCGTTAAAGCCATTACATTGAGCTGGCAAAACATAAAAAAAGTTCATTAATACAATTTTAAAAAGTGATCTCACTCTCAAAACCACTGCTGTGTTGACTGCCAGATACAAAAAACCACAAAAAAAACATTTTAATGGAAAATTGGAAATGTACACCTGAAGTATGCAAGTCAATGCTTTTAGGCTTCAATTAATGTGAGTTCTCTTCGTGATAATTTAAATAATTCAGCATACAAAGCACATACATGTAGAAGGAATATAGAGGTATCAAATAATGAAAGATTAAAGTCTGGATCAAACGGGTCTAAGATGAAGCAAAGCACACATTCAGGTCATGCAGTACCAGGATCCAGCCCAGCATACATTGTTTCCGCCTTCACTGTTCCCTGCCTCAGTGCTTCACTGAACTAATCCCTACATCTGGATCCCTCTCTACACCATATACACTGTAAGTTCCACCCCCAGTTAGAATCCTGCTGCTGAATAACTCGCAACGTCGAGTTATTCCCCGGTTCTTCTCAGAACCACACATACTCAAGAAAGAGATTGATCCATGGCGTAACCGCAATCGAAAGAAAGTCAAGTGAACGTCGTATTATGCCATGTGTATGTAATACTCTACATGTGAGCGGTATGCAGTAGTAGACTCAACCTGCCCTACATGTAGGTAAGGGGAGAGTCTACTGCCTGCAACTTACGCAGATTACCTATAGATACATATGCAGAGTAGCACCGAACCCAAGGACAGTGGGATGGCAAGGACGCACCACTAACACCCTAGCCACAACCATGGAGGCGACGGAAGGACCAAAGTGAATGCAAAGTGTTGCCGACAAAACATCCTCCTTACAAGGTCTTTCGGGAACACAGTAGTTTAATGTCTTATCAATAGAGGGCGCTTATTCCGCACTTCATTGCCAATCCAGCCCACTTAGTTTTTTACATGATTCACAAGCACGTGACAAGTGTATCACGGTAATAGTCGGTTAATTTCCTTTCTGTTTGTAAAATCTGTCAGCTCAGCAAAGTGAGTGTTTTCTTTATTAGCTTATCCTTTAGTTATTGCCTTAAGATAAAGGCATTAAGACACATTTTTTGGTTATTTTTCGTGGCTAATACGTAGTAACATTTTTATATGAATATGTCCAAGTTTTTGGGAACCATGATTCATGTACAGCGTATTCATGTTACATATGTATAATTAGATGTCGCACATGTATTGTCATTAGGCAATGGATGCAATGTGCATTTAACTGGAGGTCTAGAAGTTTGTGACCAGAATTTGTGTCGGTGGCATATATAAGTTTTGTCTACATAATTATTTATTTTGTATTTTTCAGTCGAACCATCATTCAGACACCATTAACCATCAACCGCTAGACATCAACTACCATCAAATATTGTCATTTGGATTCCATCACACCTTTGAAAACCATCATATATGCCATCCCAGTAATTTTGCCATCATTGAAGACACCCTCATCCATTCTGGCCTATATATGTAGGAGTCACCTCACACATGACACCTTCGTGATACAGCAAACCCAGTGATTTATTTCTTGCTCGAAAGTATTAAAGGAGAGTTAAGCATAAGTGGACACTAGAATTGAATTTAGATGTGTGTTGATTGCTGAGCATATAGCAACAGTTTGAAGTCAAGTAGCCTGAGTGCTACACAAAGATATAAATATACATACATTGCATTGGCAATGCACAATATCAGATTAGGAAGAACACGATCCAGACTCACTAGATCGTCTGAAGCTCAAGAACATTGATGTAGGAGCATGCAAGGGATGGGCCCCATCAACCAGGAACCTGGTGTAGAGGAAGACTGGCACCCCAACCAAAATTTTAGACATCGGTAATGCTTATCATGTGTTGAGGCGGAACAAAGGGAAGACCTCCAGTAAGATTGACTCTGGCCGCCCACTGAGACAAATGATGACATACTAGAGCCGACAGTGGGACTTGCAGATCGAGGGGATCCCAGCTTGGTTTGAAATAAGAAAGATGGCACTGGAGAGGCCGCATGTAAAGCCGACACCAAGGAACAAGGTTAACGAGACTGGCCATCAGCCCAAGCAGGTCGAGACTCGCCTGGAGTAAGAAAGTAAACATGAAGCCCTTCTAGGTGAGGTGTGGTGGGACTGAAAGGATGGCCAGCTTGTGAAGAAGGTTGGAAATTTTCGACTCCAGAGCCCGTCGTTTGGAGAGATCACTTGGGACCAGAGTCAGTCAAAACGTCATGTTGGACAGAGGGGGGCTCGTGAATTCCAATTGGTAGCCGTAGGTGAGAGAGGCGAGAACCCATCCATCTGAAGTTATTTCCCCCCTAACCCTATGAATCTTTGAAGGCGGCTGCCAACAGGTTTGGAGTTGGGGGTTGTGGGCAAAATGGTACAGTCACCTGCGCCAACCCCGTTTTTCGTGATCTGCACGGTGCCCAACTAAAATCAAAACTATGGGCAAATTCACCCTTCAGTATACACACAGTAGAAGAATTCCAGCTATAAAATTCTATGTAGCCATTTTTCTATTGTAAAAAGCCCTCTACAATAAAATCTCGATAACTCAAAGTCGGTTAACTTGAAACTCTGCTTAACTTGAAGAATAATTAATTCCCGCAAAAAAAATAGGCTTTTAAGTACAAAAACATATCTGTAACTCGAACTGCTCAAGTTGCCAGATTCGTTTACCTCAAAGTTTTTGTGTAGCAGATCCAAAAGAAACCACTGCCAAAATACATGTACTTCCAGAAAGTATAAACAGAACGCAGGTCTACATGTAGTTATGAATATTTCTCACACGCACACTTCGTCTTTTCACACTGGAACACTTGCAACCGCGCAACAATTATGATCGATCTAGACATGTAAACCACACCGTGACAGCAAAATCCGACTTACAGGAATTGACACAATTGTTACTATGGGCTCATTGTAGCCAGTGCGTCGGCAGGCCAACTGATGGCTGTTTGCGGTGGCTGCGGCAATGCATTGGAGATCTTTGTGTATGCCACATGCACCACACGTATGGAAGTTAAGTCTGGCCTAATGGTCTGGCTCAACTGCTTGCGCTCACCTGTGCAATGGCTGCCCAATTAGAGCCACCAACCACAGCATGAACACACGCAGTAGACCAACCATGTGACTACAATGCAAGCTTTGAATATGCTATGTGAGATGCGTCCCCGTCGCAGCTGCTAGAAATCTGCAGAGCTTTTGTGTAGCCAAATCTCACTCCCAAAAAATAAACAAAAGTTTGAAAATAAAGGACAAAGAACAATAAATAAAAACAGACACCAATAGCATCTTTGTTTTTACGAAATTTTATTGAAGCGCAAAAAGGTGTGCCCTCATGTGATGAAAAAAGTCATCTGACTCATCGGGAAACCCCGCCCGAGTACGCATATGCAAGGTGCTGTGTTGCGGTATCAGAAATGGGACCCCCACAATGCGTCACACATGCACAACGCAAAAGAAAGATTTGCCACACAAAGGTACAGAGTTTAAATGATTTACAG